TTCCTTCCTTCCTTCCTTCCTTCCTTCCTTCCTTCCTTCCTTCCTTCCTTCCTTCCCCAATTGCGCATGTACATGTACAGGATTTCTCAATTCTAGCAGCTTGGAGGTGGGTGGACTTCCACTTCCTGAACTGAAGGTGGAATTCTGGGAGTTGAAGTCCACCCGCCTAGCCGTACACGGAGGGACTACCTGCGTTTCCAAGCTCTGCTCCTAAAGTTGACCGTTGGCCAGGGGGAAGCTTTGCTGCCCCCTTGTGGAGCAAGTTTATCACCAAAATCCTCCCTTCACTGAAATCTGTTTGCAAGAATAATAGAATCACACGGTTGAATTTGTGATCGGCCCAAAGTCATCCAGCGGGGTTTCGTGCCTAAGGTGGGGCCAGAACTTAACAATCTCCAACGTGATTTTATTAAAATGTATTTATAAACTTATAACTTATTTAAAACAACGGATGACTTGCCATCCACCCTAGTTTTGGACGTTTCAGGATTGCAGAATTGGCAATTCAGCGTCCTCTCTAAGGTTTTGGGTCCAAGCCTTGGGGAGCTGCTTGACTGCTGCCACAAAAGCTTTGCTGGCTGGAGAATTCTGGGAGTTGAAATCCACAAGTCTTAAGGCGGCCAAGTTTGGGGGAGCCCTGCGTTAGATGTTTGTCTGTCGTGGTTAGCGGAAGTCTAAACAGCTGAGTTATTTATATTTGCTCTGTTGTTCTTCCAGGCGCTTCCAGCATGTCCGATCCAAGCTACCTGTGAAGCCGCCTCTAAAGAAGAAAACAAGGAGAAGAACAGATACGTCAACATTTTGCCTTGTATGTATCGACGTTCCCTGGTTTCTGCCCACTGTGGGTGCCATTGTAAAAACCTACCTAGAATAACAGAGTTGGAAGGGACCTTGGAGGTCATCTAGCCCAGTGGTCGCCAACCAGTGGGCCGGGGACCACTGGTGGTCTGCGGGAAAATTTTGGTGGTCTGCAGAGAAATGTTCCCCTGAAAGCAATTAATCCAGGCTGAGCGGGAACACAAGGCTGCACCGCCCACGTGGCTCGCGGGAACACAAGGCTTGCGTCGCTTGCATTGCGAACAACATGAGGTAGTGAGGGGAGGAAGATGGAGGGAACTTGCCCCATGCGCCTCGCCTGGCCACCGGGCTGTCTCTTTCCGCTTCTTTCTTCTTCTGCTTTTGGCTGCGCGCAAGGAAAGCAGCAGAAGTCTTTCTTTCTCTCCCCCAAACTCCGCCAGAAATGAGTCTTTGGGGCCCTGCAAGGCCTCCTGCTCCAAGAGGCTGCAAAGACTCATTTCTGGTGGAGTTTGGGGGAGAGAAAGAAAGACTTTGACGGCTTCTGCTGCTTTCCTTGCATGAAGCCAAAAGTCTCTCTCTCTCTTTCTCTCTCTCTCTCTCTCTCTCTCTCCCTCCCTCCCTCCCTGTCTTTCTCTCTCCCTCGATCCCTCTCTCTCTCTCTCTCTCCCTGAGAACGGAGCTGGAGACAAGAAATTGCCATAGATGGGATACACATGAATTTATAACAAGCGGTGTGGAAAAACAGTCCCTCTGCTCAGGCACAAACCCTTTCAGACAAATGGTTGTCCAATCTCTTCTTAAAAAAACCCCCAGCACCCACAACTAATAAGTAAATGATACCAGGAGGAGCCCAAAAGTAGAGATTTGGATACTAGCACAGTTGGGAGACGTGCAGTAACCCGTGGCTCCTTCCAGACAGAGATCCTTCCTGAACTCAGATCAGGACAAAGAGAAACAGGCGGTCTAATAGGAATAAATCTTTTATATCTCACTACTAAGTAACGTGGATCCCAGTTTCGGGGGCCTGTGGTCGCGGGTGAAGGCTTGGAATCCTGGTTAGTGTCGGCCAAGAGAAATTCTCGCGTCCCATCAACCCAGAATCTTCTCTGATGTCCCTCTAAAGAACATCTACAATTCTCTGCCCCCGTCTTCAAAACTGCTCTTATTTTTTTTTGATTGCTTAAATAGCCCAAGCTCCAAATATGAATCTCATTTAAAGAGAGAGAAAGAGAGAGAGAGAGAGAGAGAGAAATCTTTCTCAACCAGTCAAGAGCTGCTGTTATTGTGAAGGTGCTGAACCTGGAGGACTCTTGATTTTTGGACATCCCTTCTTTGTGGTGCCAAACGGAGAGGCAGCGAGGCGAAGGGAGGTTGCCCAGGCCAGGGGTCTCCAACCTTGGCCACTTTAAGACTTGTGGACTTCAACTCCCAGAGTTCCTCAGCCAGCAAAGCTTGGCTCTCGACTTCTAAGCGCTTGATAGGCTGGTGGTAAATGAGCACTCCTGTAGACCGACGAGGCTTCAATCACTTCCCCGGCTGTTTTTGAGCCTGCTTGTCCAACAATCTGAGTGTCAACTTGTAAAAGATTCCTATGTGTCGGGATTCGGGCAGTTACCTCGATTTAAATCATGAGTCTCGAGCCAAACTTCCAAAAAACTTCCAAAGGATTTATTGGGGGTAAACATGCCGGCACTGCCTGGGTGTAGCTGACTCCGAGGCACATCCTTCATTATCGCCCTTGACACCCTGGTTTTCCCCCCACCCTCTGGGTGTATCCTGATTCCTATCCTCCAATGGGACACCTCCATAGCCCAGAGTCCTCAATCAGGCTCTCCAGTTAGAATTTTGTGCGGCAGAAACTTCGGTCACCTACTTCCTATCTTTGAAAACATTTACGGAGTGCACTTTCGGTTTGCAAGCTGCTGCACTGCTCCCCCCTCCCTTTCCTGTTGGCAACTCTAAAAAAAAACAGAGACATATTTTATGAGTTAACACTATGCCTGTTTCCAAGTTGCCGTGAAAAAGAGCGGGGGAAGGGCCTGAAGGAGCATAGGGCAAATAAAACCAGGAGCACATTCCAAGCTTATCTCACAAAGGTTGTAACTTAGGCAACCGGCTATTCTGCCCACAGAAAATCCTTTATTGGAGAATGTGAGCGATGACCCCCAGCCCATGAACGTATTTAATTGGAGAAGCTGAATTATGATATTTTATCCAGAGGGCGTGGGGTGGGGGGAACCAGGGTCAAGGGTGAATTACGTGTCTCAGAGTCAGCTTCAATACTGGTCATGCCGGCACGTTGCTCCTAATAAATCTTTTGAAGTTTCTTGAAGCTTGGCTGGAGGCTTAGGATTTAATTAAATCGCCGGAATCCTGACACTTCGACGTGCTCCAGCGTGAGTCAGAAAGCTCGGAAGACGAAACCTCTGGTCCCAGTGACCGACCCAGATTGGATCCTGCAAGACAATGATAGGTTATAAGGAGGGGTCGTGTCATGCCCCTGTCTGAAATCTGATTTGGAGGGAGAAGCCGAACAGCCGACAAGGAATGGGAGGGTGGCTCCGTTGGCTGTGGAAGAAACTGGGCAAGGGCACATTCCAGGTGGGCAGAGTAGGGGAGAGGTAGAACAAGGGAGAGGAAGAACAAGGGAGAGGGAGTTCAGAGGAAGACCCAGGCCCATTCCCTTCTTCATCCCAGGGCACACAGGGAGGAATGGAGAAGGGAGCAATGTGGGTTGCATGGCTTACAGGGGAGGAAAGGGCCCCGATTCCCTTCATTAGCTGCAGCTGGGAACACGGGGTTTAAAAACGGAAGCCGCGCACAGCAAGTCGCTGGGAGCAAGCACGAAGTTATCTTGTATCGTGGCTTATCTGTGTTCCTGCCCTCTTCCCAACTGTGTGAGTTTTGTCCTGCTTTCAAAGTCTGCAATTCCTTCTCCTGCCCTGTCCAGTTAATTGCTGCAGTTTGGTTTGTTTGGATTTTAAGTTACAGTTTGTGTTGATCATGTTTTGGACTTAATTTTCTGCAGTTAAAGGCTGTTCCTGGGAGAGTTTTTTTTGAAGCTAATCTGGACATTGGGGCCAAAGTTGGAGATAATAAAGGGATTCTTTTTGCTTATTTGACCGTGTTGCCTTTGTGCCACGCCCCTTTGGGTCATCCCAGGGACAGTTCTCTAGTTTTACGCTGCGCTGAAAACCAACCCTGTGAAGGTTGGCTTTCTTGGAGATTCGTTTGACCGGCACTGAAGCTCCTCCTCCATTGTCCTGTTGCTTTTGCCATTCATGGTCATTTTCTCTTTCCTAGATGACCATTCCAGGGTTCACCTGACACCCATTGAAGGGGTTCCGGACTCAGATTATATCAATGCCTCGTTCATTAATGTGAGTATCTGCTAAAGGGCAGGAATATTCCCCAGATACAGGTAGTCCTCGACTTACAGCAGTTCATTTAGTGACCGGAGTCACAATAGCACTGAAAAAAAAGAGACTTACGACCATTTTTCACACGTACCACCATTGCAGCATCCACCGTGGTAACATGATCGAAATCCAGAGACTTGGCAACTGACTCGTTATTTATGACGGTTGCCCTGATCCCCTTTAGCGACCTTCTGACGAGCAGTGGGGAAGCCAGATTCACTTTAACGACCGGGTTACTAACTGAACAACTGCAACGATTCACTTAACAACTGTTAAGGTCATAAAACGGGAGGGGGCAAAATTCACTCGATCAATGTGTCACCGAGCAACGGAAATGTTGGCCTCAATTGTGGTCGTAAGTTGAGGACTACCTGCAGTCTGGGACTCTTAGGTATTTAGGAAGGAAGAAAAGTAGCTGTTGATTCTTGTTGCTGTCTTCATCTGTTCTAACCCGTCGATCCAGATTATCCACAGATAAATCTTATTTTTCCTGGCTGGTACAATAGTTTGTATGTATTGTGGTTCACCGGCAGCTGGTGCAGCCGGCATCGGAGTCGTACAGTGAGGAAGAAAGGGGACCACTCAGGGAGTCTGGAGAGGACTTGGATGAGGGACCTGCATTCGATGCATGGATGGGGCCAGGACCATCTGGGAGTGGGGTGCTGCCTCCCGAACCTGGAAAGCAGTGAGGCAGAGGAACAAAGGGAGCCTGTTCCCAGTGCGCACATGCGCAGAGCTGCTAGAAGGCGAGAGCAGCTGAGACAAAACGGGCGACTCGAGAATAAGGCTGGGAGGTGATGGCCCCTTCCATAATGGATAAAAGTCAGACCTCAATGTCGAACTCCTTGCAGGAAGCAAAGTAGTTCGGTAGATTCCAAGTTATCCTGGAAGCTCTGTGTAGTTTGGTTGGTTTTTTTCTTGTACTTTGGCTGGTTTCTTTTATAGCTAATTGGAGACTTCTGTTTTTGGCAGCATTCCACAGCGCTGAAAGTTGTGTGCCTATTTTGGGGAACTGTTTAAGATTAGTTCTGGCTGGGAATGAAAGCGATTCCCATCGCTGCATTAAAATAGGTTTTGCTTTTAAAACAAGTTTGGGTTTAATCACATTTGACGAAGCCTGGGTCAGAACAGTGTGCAGTGACGATATTTGCAAAGTAAGGAATTAACCCCGTGAGAGAAAATGCCGAAATTTTGGGTCTTTGACCAACGCCAGAGATAAAAACCGTTGCTTTTTTTTTTCTTTTTCATTCCTGTCTCACTTCCGTTCTTGCAGGGGTATCAGGAGAAGAACAGGTTCATCGCTGCACAAGGTAAATAATATGTATTTCCTTTGAATTCCTACACTGCTAGAAATACACATTCGACATAGCAATGTGTATTTTTGAGCTGGCCTTTTGCTGCAGTAGCTCCTAATATGAAGCGGGCGGAGAAGGGCTTAGAGAAATATTGCTTATTTCTTTGTGATTTTGGTGGTGGTGGTGGTGGAAACGCAAAGCTAACCAACTTCCTGCCCCTCCCTGAAAGTTTTGCACTTTGAGTGGGGCAGCTTTGGTATCAGACCAAGGTTTATTTTGCATTCTGAGCTGAAAGAGGAAATGAAACGGTGGTTCTGTTTAACACCATGGATGTTGGAAAACCTCAAACAGCAATTGTGTTCCCTCCGCTGAGAAGAGAAGACAATTTTTAAATTCAATTTTAGTCCCTAAATTACAGGAGGTCCTTGACGCACAACCTCCATTGGGCCCAACATTTCTGTAGCTAAGCGAGACCGTCGTGAAGTGAATTTTGCCCCATTTTACAATCTTTCTTTGCCACGGTTGTTAAGTGAATTGTTCTAATTGTTCTGTCGGTAACACGGTCGCTAAGTAAGTCTGACTTCCTCATTGGCTTGGCTTGTCAGAAGGTCACAAAATGAGATCACCTGACCACGGGACATTGCAACTGTCATAAGTACATGCCAGTTGCCAAGCGTTTGAATTTGGTTCATGTAACTATGGGGACGCTGCAATGGTCATAAGTGTGAAAAATTAAGTCACTTTTTTCAGTGCCATTGTAACTTTTGGTCACAAAATGAATTGTCGTAAGATGAGAATTACCTGTACATAAAATCCGCCACAAACGTTCAGGCAGCAGCTTGAATCTTGAGCTTATATGTTCTTCCTTTGCATAAACCCACGCTTCATTTTTGCTACCTGTTTGTTTTAAATTCAGGTATTCCTTTAGTGACTTTTCAGAGTTACAATCACAGTAAAAAAAAAGTGACTTATATCCAGGCCTCACATTTGCAGTTGTCAACGCCATGGTGACCTGATCAAAATTTGGTGTTCTTACCTAGGCTTTCCCCAAAAGCACTAAGGAGACGCTTTGTTTTATTAAACAAAGGTGAATTTCTTGCATTCACATTCATAGAATAGAATAGAGTTCTTTTCATTGTGTGATTGGACACACAAGGAATTTGTCTTTGGTGCAACTGCTCTCAGTGGACATAAAAGAAAAGATACATTCATCAAGAGTCAAGAATCACAAGGTACAACACTTAATGATAGTCATAGACAATAAGCAATCCAATCATACTAGGAAACAGTCCATATTCAGCTAAAGGCCTGGCCAACGGTCTTTCAAGGGTGTGATTAGGAGCACAGACCTTATCTAGCTTGGAGAGCGGCCAAGTAACTATTTCCAAACGCAGTGCTGACAAGGAAGGGCTCGGCAAAGAGTCTCTGAGACGCACAGGCAGATCTTCACACTGCTGCAACGAACGAATTGTTTCCTGCAAAAGCCCCTTTCGCTCCTCTTTTAATCCCCATGGGAGGGGCCATTCACCGTCCACCTGTGGCCTTACTCCCGATTCGACCCTTGTTCCTTAGCTGTTCCCTTCTCCCGGCAGCTCTGCACATGCGCACACTGGGAATAGGCTCCAGCTGTTCTTCTGCCCCGCTGAATTCCAACTCCGAAGGCAGCTGATAACTGTCGGACGGCCCTGGCCCCATTTCTGCTTCTGACACAGAGCCCTTGTCCGAGCCTTCCTCAGCCTCCAGGACGGGCCCAGGTTCCTCCCCAACCTCCTCACTGTCCAAGTCTATCAGCCGCCTTCAGGCCACCACATTTGGGAGCTTGGCAACCGACATCTCTCTATGATGACTGGAGCATTCTGGCATCACTTGATCATCATTTGTTGCCGTCCCAGCCGGCTTCTGATGGGCAAATTCAACAGAGGGAGCCAGATTCACTTAATGACTACACGATTTGTTTAATAACAGTGGCAAAAAGGGCCCTAAAATCAGATGTGACTCACTTAACCACCACCTTGCTTATCGAGAGAAATTCTGGTCCCAATTTTGGTCGTATGTCAAAGACTTTACCTGTAGGAAGGAAGAGGAGGAGTCAGGTTTGTAAAGGTGGAAAAAGCGATGGTGGTTTGAGGTGGCTGTATCTGGGCTGAAAGGTTAGGTGGCCCACGTGGGTCAAAGCGGTTCAGCTCAACTTGTTCCTCCTGGATCATGGATTTTTTCCTCTGGTGATGCTTTTCCCCTCTGGCGTCTCGGCAGGGCCCAAAGAAGAAACGGTGAACGACTTCTGGAGAATGATTTGGGAGCAAAACACGGCCACAATTGTCATGGTGACCAATCTGAAGGAGAGGAAAGAGGTAAGGCTCTAGTCACCGCCCTGGCTAGGTGACTCTGGACCAAGCCCCAGGAGACGGGGAGTTCTAGTCCCGCCTTAGGCATGAAAGCCAGCTGGGCGACTTTGGGCCAATCACCAGGAGACGGGGAGTTCTAGTCCCGCCTTAGGCATGAAAGCCAGCTGGGTGACTTTGGGCCAATCACCAGGAGACGGGGAGTTCTAG